TGGACCTGTGACTACAAACACGATCCTGTTGACTTGTGTCACTAATTCAGAGTGGACCTATGTACTATGGGAAGACTTGAAAACTCACTTGGAAAGAAATAATCTACAGAAGAAACTGTATTTTGAAATTATTTGCATTTTACTGTTTGCTAACTATTAGAAAAGTCACCCAATAATTTGTTAAAGTGAGGCTGAATTTGTATGGAGAAGGCATGTTTTATTGCCAGCAAATAGACTAACATAAAACAGCCCCAGTTTTGGGCAAGTCCTCCGTGAAGTCTCAGAGATGCTTAAGGCTAAGCATGAGAATCGCTGTGCTTATTGCACTGGGGCTATGCACACACTTAAGCAAATAGTTAAAGTGATGTGTTGGATGTAGCTCAAAAAGGAATTTGGAATAACTAGACCAACTTGCAGAAGATGACGCTTTCTAGATTTTACTTTCCAACTGTGTAATTTGGAAAGCTGTAAGAAGAACTGTCAGGGATGACTGTTGAAAATGAAGTCAAAAGAGGTCATGAGAATATAAATTGCTTTTTCCCCTCGTTTTAAAAGTTTTACAATAACACTTTTTCTTTGTAAAGGATGCGTAAGCTAGGATTGTGAATCATGCGCATTGTACGCGATGGATGCATCGCACATGTTTTTGTCACTATTTAATACTGAACTAGGAGAAGACATGAGAAACCTAGCTGTCAGAATTAACTGAAACAGTAAAAAGAGCATAGGTCTGTTTAGTTGGGTGGCTTTTTTTTTTCTTTTTGTTAATGTTAAGAGCAACAGAACTACAACAGTGCAGGAAGGACCATCACCTATGGTAATATTCATGATCAATTACAAGAACCACAAAGTATGTAACGCTCTAAATTGATATGTGCTTCTTGATGCAAATTATTAATAGCATTCGAGGCAATGCTTCATGCAGCTCTTAGAGGAAATACAAGTAAAGGCATTGATGGATGGACAGATTCTTGAGGGTGTAGAGCGGTAGAGAGGAGGTAGGATGGAGGTAGAGAGGAGACATTGATGCTTGCTGTAAACCAGGAGCCGAGGGGAAGACCTTGGAGACAGGTCCATGATGGATGGAACATTTAGCATTTTTGCATTTTGACTGCTAAAATAAGGCATAGCAGTTGGATTTCGAAAAGAGACAGATTTCAAAGTGTAATGTAGGTTTGCTGAGTTTACAACATGGGAAAAGCGAACAACACTAATAATATGGCAAAGAGAAGAATAGCCAGTCCAGATAGAGCAGAAGAGGTGATGAGCTCAAGCCTTCAGTGAACTCCAGGAAAACTGGAGGATTGTTTGAGAGAGAGGGGAGGAGCAAGGATGGCATATGGGTGAATTAAAAATTAGAAGAGAAGACCAGAAATGGGCAGTGAGGCAGAACTTGTTTAGAGGCTTGTTACTGAGGAGAAGGAATTGATGTTACGGGAGAAGAACCAGAGCTGTACTATTGCCTCAAGCAAAATATAGCATGTTGACTTGAATTTGAAAAGCAGTGGGAAAGAGGCCACTGATGCTTTCTTACACTGGAGCAAATGTTGTAGCTGTGTTCACGCTGGCATGGGTAAATGATGATAATGGTAGTCTGGGAAGGAGCTCAAAAGAGAGCCTTAGGTGATTATACATACAGATATACAAATATAAGCCCTGGTGAGGTTGAATAAGGAAGATGATAATAATAATACTATTTCTCAAAACATTTGTTTATTAATGTTATTGTGGAGGTGTCTTTGTGTTGTTTGCTGCAGCTGTGGTAGGTGATCAAAATGTTAAATTTCTTTTTTATGACCAAGGAATGATCTTATGGGGTTGATTTTCTGATCGCAGGTGGATTTTATTCATATTAAAGTTCAAACTAGATCCCTAAGTCTTGTACTATTTACAAATCTGGAAAAATAAGAAAACTTGTTCAAAAGGCTCGCTGGACAGAGGAGCTCAAGTATTTGAATGTGGCTTACGACTGAAATGATTTTAAGTACTCACGTTGTATAAAACTTCTCTTTTTTCTAAGCAAGAAGAAAAAACTCTGAATAGATGACATCTCAAACGGTTTATTAAGAATAAATACAAAGCAGGAAGGTATCATTTACAGAGGAGAACTACGCTCAATGTTAGAGTATGTTTTTAATCTCCAAAAAAGGTGAGAATAGCCAAATACCTATTTGATTTGGCAGACTCCCATGTGCAGAAAATCTAAAACTAGTGCAAAGAAGGCTTTATAACCACAGCTTGTAAAGAGGGGAGAGGTCAGAATGTAGTGAAGATTGAGAATAATCCTACAGATGGTCCAAACATTGAATGAGAGCCCTCTCACTTCCAGTGAAGAGGAAGTATTTTATGAATAGTTTGGGATAACTAATAAAATTAGAGATTGGGAACTGAGATGATAATATCCAAGGGGAAAGCAAAATTTGAATTTCTTGGTGTACGGTTTCTGGGACCATGCTAGAATACCAGGGTGTATTTGCATGAAAATATCAAAGCTAATGGCAAGACTTACATAGTAGCTGTATGTAAGAGTAGTACAAGATCCAACTTCTGTAATCAGTTGGGAATTACGTTCAACAAATTCCCTGCAATTGCGGGGGTCCGTAACACACTGCTGGTGTTGCAAATGCCACTTGCTCTGAAGATTTTTAATGGCTCCTTGTAAAGGAGGTTTGAAAAAGGTCTCCATCTCCCCTCTGATCTGTCTAGGGACGAGGTGTGGTTCCATTCGGAAAGGCAAAGTCACAATTTGGAGAAAAGAAAACAACCCTGAGGCTTTGTTTTAAAGTTAAAATTTAATTCCCTTTTTTACAAATCTCATCTTTTCTGAAAGACTTGTGAGCCCTTTGGAGCACAGTTAATTTTATGCACTCATATATCACAAAAAGAGGGGAAAATTATGTTAGCCACTTCGAGTGTTTTTCTTCTTTTTACAAATTAGACTCAATCGGGTAATGACTGGCTGAGAGGAAAGGTTTTATTTTAACAATTGAAACTCTTAACCTGCTTTCACGATAAGGAAGCTAAATTACAGAGCCAAAAGCTGTGATAAAAAGCTGGTAATAGGGGAGAGAGGTAAAACAGAAGATGTTATACAACCACTTGGGGAACCTAAAGGGGACTTGGTTCTCCGTAAATGTGTGTACAAAGATGGCATGACCTTTTTTCCCCTTCTATATAATTAGTTTAAAATGTGATTGCGTAACAAAACATCCCTGGCATCTGAACAAAAAACAAAGGCTAGGTCTGGCAAAATGTAGTTACTTTAAATTTTCATGTGCAGTTTTTTATGCATAGCAATTGGGGTTGATTAAACTCTTCTGTACTAGCTAGAGTTAATATTAGCAGGCTGATCTCAGCTTTCTGGACTAACTGCAAGTTTTTGAGATGTAGATGTTCTGGCTGTCTGAATTGTCCATTTTGTGCACATGTAGTCTTCCAAGAAGGCACTCTTGTTGGAAGTGGGGTCATGGAGTTGCGTGTTTTAAATTAATTTTCTTGTACTGTGGGCAGAAGTACATGTCTGAGCACCTGGCACAGCTCAGCTGTTGTATAGGGCATTATATACATTTCTCTTTGTGTGTCTGATCCCCTAGTTCTATAATAAAAGCATTGCTTGTGTTGAAATTTGCTGTAAACATAAGCTTTGGAACTAATTCTGAAAACAAACCCAAAACCAAACAAAAAACCCCCATCAAACCCCCTAACCCCAAAACAAAACAAACAATTATAAGCTGATATATTTTCTGCTTCTTTTTCTACTGGAAGACTTAAAATGAAAAGTCATGTTTGTTTTTATTCTAAGTGTCCATAAGTTGCAGTTAGACTGAGGAATGTTTTTGCTTGTGTTTTAACCTTCGTAATTACAGCTACTACAGTGACAACCATTTTTTTCCGAAAGGCCTGATCTATGGATTTTAAACCCGGTAAACATTGCCTGTTGCTCACGCCTGAGCTCTGAATGATGCCATCTCGCCTAGCAGGCTATCTCATTAAGCATGTGAAGATATTTCACCAGGGAATTTGATTTCTGCATTTCAAAACAAAATAAGAGCTGGTGGCGGATCCAGAGCTTTGCAGATGGTGCAGTTCGGGATTTGGGGAACAGCAGCATTTTGCAGAGCAGGCTTTTAGAACCCGGTTTTGTTTATATTGTGTCAGATTCTCCCCATAAAGGAGAATATCTCTGTATTAATTTTCATTGCATGATCATTTTCTCCTTTAAACTTCACTGTCAATAAAATAAATGTTTCTGGGTGAAATAATTGGGCACTGTTCAGGTAGGTGCGTACTGTCACACATTTTCCTGTTTACATAGCACAGATACACATGCATACGTAAAAAACACCCCAAAACCTGGAAGAGCAAAGCTCACTTCTGTCCAAAATGTGCTGATTTGCTCTTCATCCCTTCCTTTAATTTTTAGGAAGTCTTGATTATTTCAAGGTTGTCGGCATTCAGCTTCTGAAAGTAAAATGAAAGTATTTCAGGGTGGTATTGAGGAAAGAAGAAAGAGCGAGCAGTAGAGAAGTGGGTTTTCCTTTCTCTTAGATGGCTTTATCACAATTAAAAATGATGGATTAAAAGATAAAAGTGGTGGTGTGATGGTGAGTCCATTGTGTGCCTCTCGTTGTTGTTCTGGCAAGCGTTAAAAGCAGTTCTTATCCTCACTCTGGAGATGCACAGTGTGTGAGAGCTTGCAAAAAATCAAACAAAACTTTCTCTTGTAATGCTGTCTGTCTGGTGCTATGGGTTCTAGATCTGTGAAAAACTGTGACTTTCCGATGGCAGAGTGTGCGCCCGAGAGATTTGGATTAAATAGGTGCTAATACTTGTTGCAGATGGATGTGCCTTGGGGGGAAATAGCCTTCTGTTTTGAATGCGTGTGAGCAACAAGAATGACAGTCTGGTTCTTGGGAATTGTTCAGTTTCTTCATCCTGACATTTGATTTTTGCAACGTCTTGTGAATTATCTTTAATGTTTTGGCTATGTGCTTTTTCAGGTAGAGGCATTAACCCATCAACCTAGAGCCACAACAGTACACGCAGTCAGAGATTCAGAACTTGCCAAACTCCCAGAGGGAGCACTGACATCTATCAAACGCAAATTCCCCCAGGTGAGAAAATTAAAAGTATTTTCTGTCTGTCTCAAAAGATGTCTGAGGAGCTAAAACTCTCCATTAGCACCAAGTCCTCTGGGTTTTTTGTATGATTGATGCATACTGAGAAAACATGATGTTCTCTTTATCTGCCTGATCTGATCTATAGCAGACTTTCACCAGCTTCTCTTCGTTTATCTTCTAGTCAATTTTAGCGTGTTTTATTGCAGGGCTGTTTTGTATATTTGGAAGAAGTTAATGCTAAATGCAGGAAAGTGGAAAAACATTTGCTAAACGCAAAGTAGAAATCACTTAGTGCTATTGATAGTAAATAAAAGTTTGACTTCTAAAATCACTTTAAAATGTTGTTATGCATTTGTCTTGCTCGCTGGGACTCAAAGTCAGCACTTGGTTATATGTATCTTTACTTCCAGAGCATTGGTATTTGGGGGTTGGTTTTCCTCTTCCTTGCATTTTAGGCTGTCAGTCCTCATTCTGCATCTGCCAGATCTGTCTGTGTCCTGAAGACTGTGATTGCTCCCTTTGAATCCATCAACTCATCCATCTTCTTTAATTCACTTGACATTGTACCTCTCTCCTGCAAATCTGGAGACTGACGGACTTGAAATTTAATTCTTTTGTCCCTAAGTGCATCAGGGACATTATACTAAGCACTAAATCATTGCACTAGCCTTAAAGGCAATTCTTTAATGCTGTTACTTCAAATTATTTCTGATCTTTCTTTTTGCCGTCTTTAAGATATATACTTATTGTACCAGATTTCTTAAAAAAAACCTGCAAAAGTAATAAATCTAATTAAAATACTTGTGTTCTTTTGCTGTCCTAGGACCCATAACGTTGTTTTGTTTGTTTGTTTTGTTTTGTTTTTTTTAAAGTGTATAATGTAAAGCCTGTATTCATGCATTCTCATGTTACAAAAACTGGGGGGGTTTTGTCTGTATTATTGCTAGGATAATTTCATCATTGCAGTAAGTGTTCAGAAGTTATGTCAATAAAAAATAATCTTCCTGTTTTCCCTGTAAACATAATGCTTAGGTGTTTCTGAACTTCTGTTGTGGGTTGTTAAGGCACTCCTGTTCTCTGGATCTCTCTTGAATAGACCTCTGATTCTGCTGTCCTCTATTTAATGGAACAGATTTCCTGCCCAGATTTATGAACTGGTAGCAGTGTGCGGCTTCTGTACATAACTAGCCACAAACCGCGTAACGACAGCATGGCATCCTGTCTTGAGCTGCCCTTTTAAATATCACTCTCAAGATATTTAGTATCTAAATAGTGATATTTAAAATTTAAATATCACTGATCGGGAAGTGAGGAAATGAGCCGGGTGGAATTTAAAACCACCTTTCTCCTTACATAATGGATGATTTTAAATGTTACTAGTAAACATTTAAATGGTAAATTACTAGTAAGCACTGAACATGTAATATTTAGTAATACCTTGAATGCTGATCTGCACAAAGGCTGTGTTCTAATTTGCCCTTTTGTTCAGGGCAAGAATTGATTTCTGTGTCTCTTCTCTCTCTCTCTTCCCTTTGCCTATTCTATCAGTCGGCACAATTGTTTTCCCCTAAAGAGTGCTCTCTGTGGAGAAGTGAATCTTTTTGCTTTGTAGTTAAAGTTGAGCTTGGTTGTTACATTTATAGTACAACTCAAAACATTTATTTGTAATAGAATACAGATGTCTTCCCATGTCTAAAGAGTGCAGCCTATCAGCCTCAAATTCCTGACCTTTTTGAATATGGAATTCATTTTCTCTAGGCTTGCATATAGTTTGGCTAACTAGTTGCAACGAAACAAAATGCTAAAATAGATCTTTTAAGGAAATGTGTTGCAAAAAAGGTTGTTAGAAAAACACGTTATTGCTGCTGTTTGAGGTCTCCAAATTCTAAATAGATGTTAAACTGGTATCAAAAATGTGAGAGCTTACATTTTTACTATTGGATTATTTTAGAACAAGCATTAGAAATAGGAGCGTAAGATAGACTTTGAAGTTGGTGATTTATGTAGCTAATGCCTTCAGACTGTCTTGAGAACCTAAGGTAAAATATTTTTTTATATGATCTCAAAGTTCTTGTATCTTTTTGTCTGTTAGGTCCATCAGATAAGAGAGGAAGGACAGAAGTGAGAGGGAATTGAAGTGATGGAGGAAAACAAGAGGGTGGAAAGTTTGAAGTCAGGTAGAAAGTACAAAGTCAACTTTAAAGTTAAAATACTGGAGAGAAGTTTTTGACCTGGAAACTAAAAATTGCATACAGAGAAAAGAGTCTGGGTGGCCATTTCTTTGAAAAAGAATTCAGGCATTGGTGGATCAAAAGCTGACCATGCCTGAACAATGTCATGCAGTTGCGAAAAAAAATCTGTATTAACAGAATGCTTTTTGGAGTGAAGAAATGCTTGCGTTCTTTGCGATACTGGAAAAGCTTCAGTACCAGCCTGTGGCAGGACATTTGAAGGAAGAGGCAGACCAAATGAAGACAGTCTAGAGGACAGAAAGGTGGCTGACTGATGTTTAGAAATATTAACCTATAAAGGCAAAAGGACTGTGAAAGGTTAAGGGTAGACCTGGTAGCTATTTTCAAATGTATAAAGTTGTCTTCTGAAAGAAAGGGCATAAGATACTCACCATATTGGAATAGAGCAAATGGTAGTGTACTGAAATTGCAGCAGTTGGATATTAAGAAAAAGCTGATTCTACTCCCTAGAAAGGCTAAAATATTGTTACTTGTCTTTATAACCTCTTAAAAAATTATCTTTTGAGGTAGTGCTTAGTGCTGAGCAGAGGGATGGACGAAATGAATTCTCTGTCATATTTTCTCTCCTGTTACTCTAGTAGAGTGATTTATACACAGGATTTATGGTGTTGTTTTCCCCATCCAACCAGAAGTAATAAAGTAATGAAGGGATAGCAGGTGCAATAGTTTTGAAATAGAGTAGGTAGAAAGAGCTAGCTTGTGATTCATCAATGTGGTGGAGGATTTCCCTCTTAGTCCTCTGCAAATCAGAAAACCATCTTTTAGGAAACAGAAAAGCAACTCTGCCACTGTCAAACACATGCTCCCCAACTGACTGGTAAGGTTAAGTTAACCTGAGTCTCACTTGGTGGAATAGTGATCAAACATGCGTGCCTGTCCTCTGAGTCAGGTGAAATGTTCTCTTAGTTCAGAGGAATCCCACATCAGGGAGAACTGCTTTTGCTTTGGTGTTCCTCTTGGCAGCTTTTGTAGAGTCTAAATAGTGTGTATCTTAACAGCCAAGAACTGGGCAGTTCCTGAGATTGAATTGCCCTTTCAATTAGTTGCCCTTGAGCTTTACTATTTCCTGTCAAGGGTGAAGAACCCTTTAATTCTAGGAGTTAGTGGAGGGACTTCATCCTGCATACTTTTCACCAGTCATGGAATGCATTGTAAGAAAATATTACCTGGGTAAGATGAGTAAGAAAATTGTAAACGTGGGTGGTGCTTGACAATGAGAACAATGTGAAATGAGGGATATCATGCTCTATTAGTCCGTACAGTAATTCAAGTTTCTTGAGCTGTGGTGTACAATCTGGAAAAATCGCACAGCTGATCCTTGGGGAAGCACCGTATGCTTACCCTCTGTTTTGTCTTCTCCCCTGGGCATCTGCTTTGGTCCTGTCAGAGACAGGATACTGGTCTGCTGGGATCTTTGGTGTGACCCATTATAGCTCCTGTTACTCTGAGGGATGAAACAGATGGGTGAGCACGGGGAATCTAATCTCAGTTCTAAGTAACAGCCAAAATTTCAGAGTATGTGCCCAGGAATGACAGATGTTGACTTCTAGGTCCTGCTCAGTCTGCAGAAGTCAAATCTACATCTTCGAGCTTCTCATGAAAGCATCCCAACCTTGAGTCACTCTGCATATGGCATCCTAGACATTCCCGATTGAAAGTGGTCCACAGTGTAAAACTTCTCCTTTGTTTTCTCGGGACTGGTGCCTGAGGGCCACAGCACTCCAGCATAGCCATCAGGGCACTCAGCTGGTGAGAGCGTTTGCTCTTCTGACAGCCTTGGTGCTTGCTTTTGGTGCTGCTTGAAGCTTTTCAGCATTGCAGGAGTGAAAGGGAATTGATGCTTTCTATTTTCATTGCTGCTTTCAGTTCTGAAAAGTAGGACAGAGAATCAGCTCACGATTTTTGGCACCGCAAAGCAGTTTCGAAGCAGTAGCGAGAGCGCAGAATTTCTGAACAGATTACGGAGATGTTCTAACATCAGTGTCTTACTTGGATCACATTTCATAGATTATCTTTGCCTCTACTGAGCTGAAATTGTTTTTGTAACTCTAATTTGAAATTTAGACCTGCTGTAGCTGATGGAAATTGCACTGAGAAATTGCTTAGGAGCTGTGGGGGGGTGAAATACAAGATGACCTTTTGCATGCTAGAAATGCGTGCTAGAAACGCATGTGAGAAAATACGGAGTTTTTCTGCATCTTTCTTGTAATTCTCTAAGTCTGCCCTTGGGGTTTAAATATATTCAGAACCCATCATCCATCTTGAACAGCGAGTCCTGCTATCTTTGTATGCGTATTTTAACCAGAGCTTTTCTGAAGTAGATGGAGCCTTCCCTAGCGTTATCTGCCTTAAAAGTGAGTTCGGTAATGTGCCCTCTTTTCAAAACGCTTCCCTCAGGCATTGTGTATGTTGTGCATCACGTTATTTAAGCTTGATGTGGCACTGTGGAATAGGTCAGGAGAGGCCATGCTTCTAGATTTTTCTCTATTTGTTCTCATGGCCCATTAAAGTAAGTTTTCCTTGACTGTAGGAGAAGTGGATGTGAAAAGGAGAGACAAAAAATGTTCAGTGGAAGCGTGGTCACCAACTGTAGCTGCCCGACATGAGGCGGGCAGGAGTGAGTGCTTAGTCATAGCAGTGATGCGAGACTGACATTTTTCTTCAAGACACAATTGATCACAAGCATTAGAAGCTCAAACAGCCCCAGGATAAAGCTTCAATTCTTCTGTATGCTTTAGTGGC